TGAAACTTGAAACACTAAATTTCTGTGTATAGTAAAAATTTTCATTGGTTTGTAAGCTTTTTTTTTTTTTAAATGTTGATGAAGGGGTCTTTTTGAGACATGGTTTTACTGTGCAGTTCAGGCTGGCCTTGAACTCACAGTGATTCTCCTGCCTCAGCCATCTGAGTGCGGAATTACAGGCATGCATCACCATACCTGGCTAAAAGGTTGATTTTTAAAGAACGGTCCCAACTGTTGTACATTATACTCATTGTATGTTTAATGCTTTCTATTATTGTCCCTCTTTACAAAATTGACCAGTGGAAATTAACATAAGCATTACTTTAAACAAACACCAACTCCCTTTTTAAAGTAGTATTAATAGAGTCTGGAAGAGTTTTTTTAGTACTCTTCCTAGTAAGTGGGGAGAGAGAAAACAAGACAGAACTTTCTTGTTCCAAGGCAACAAGAAAGTGACATCAGGTCAAGCCCTAAGGAGGTTATCATCTGTAGGTCCTATTGAATCTCCCTTAGCTAACTTACAAATAGGATGCATTTAAACTAAATGCTCTTCTGTGATTTGGTGCTAATTAATCCATATATATTCTTGGTTCTCATGTGGGCTCTTACATTCACTATTCAGAGATCCAGATCATATACGTATGTTTTTGTTATGGTAAGTTATTTTCAAAGGGCAATTCTTGCTTTTAAATCCTGTGCCTGAAAGATAAGGGGATGGTTTGTGTTGGCAGAGAGGCTCCTAGCGTCTGTGGTCCCAGAAGCTGCCATTCCTGTGTACGTGTTCTGTTGGAGGAAACTGTCCCAGAATCAATATTTGTATAGGAAAATTCCCCTCTCCTACCCTTACTTGATCAGATAAAAGAAAAATTAAATCACAAATCACAAATCTAAATAACTTCTTCCTCCTCTTACAATATGACCCTCACTATGAGGAAGCATGAAGAGAAAGACTATTTTCTAATTTATTCCTTGGCATTAATCTATGTATTAAAGGTCAGAAGACTGTTCCTTTTTAAATGATTCTAACTATGTAGTTCATACATGTGATTTCATGAGGTCATCATAAATCCTTCAAAGTCTAGGAGAAGTTAAGTTTTTGTTTCCAAACACTAGTAGAATGTGTCCTTGGAGTTATGATTTTTTCAGTATTTCCAAGAAAATAATATTATTTATGTGTTGGAAGAAGACAGCTCTTTCTTTGTCATCAGGGTGTTGAGATCAAGAGACCGAGTCTGTATTGTGTAGTTTGGGAGAGGCTGGGAGGTATCTTTGCCAAGTCCCTGAACTTGTGTTTCTAATTCTTGCTCAGTGAAGTGTAATTCCAAATCACATATTTTGAAGTCCTCAAAGAAGTGACAATAAAATTTAAAATTCATCAAAGAAGTGACAATAAAAGTGGTTGGGGCTGTAGTTCAGTGGACGAGCTCTTGCCTAGTGGGTATAAGGTTCAATCCCCAGCACTGCTGATATGGATTAGCTAGAGAAACCATTTCATATGCTCATTTATTCTATATATTAAAAATTGAGTCTATCTCAAAAAGTAGTATTACCTCTTAGTCCTGAAACAATTACTCATTGTCCTGAGCGTTTTCCGTCCTAGTTAAGTTAGGTAAGAAAAAGAAATGCCAGTGCCCCTGTGGTAGTGAGCTTTCCCATTGTTGGGACATGGAACCCAAAACCACAACATAAACAAGAGGCTTAATTGGCTCACACTGGTAGGAACATCATGGCGCAAGACTGTGGTGGGGAAAAGCTGCTCAGTTCATGGCCTCTGGGAAGCAGAGGAAGCAGAGCAGGGAAACCAAGCAAGAGAGGAGCCTATATAGGACCCAAGGTCACACCTCCGTGACCCACGCAGACACAGTAGCAAGTGTGCCTTCCTAGTTCCCTGGGTCAGTGATGGCGAACCTTTTAGAGACGAGTGCGTGAACTGTAGCGCAGAACCCACATATGTATCCCTAAGTGCCAACGCTGCAGTTAAACCTGATTATTGAGGTTTTGCTTTAGAAAAAATAAGCCATTCATTAACATCTTTTTTCTTAAAAGAAAAACAAATAATACACATGCCATGAGTTCATCATAGCTGTCCTATGTGGCTCCCGAGCCAGTCAAGTTAACAGTTAAACCTCACGGTTACAAACCTAGAACATTCTCGCTTCGAAATAAAAGCACGAATTTAGTAGGCTATAATATTACAAAATTTAGTTTTTCATTCTTCATTGACATTGGAATTTTAAACAGTAGGAACTCAAAGCACAAGTTGAGTGCCAAAGTGGTCTCCTGTGAAGCAGTCTGCATTGCTGTATTAATAGCTTATCCTCCTGGGTAGGACTTCTTGTATTATTTCTTGTGGTTCAATGTAATTCCTTGTTTCTGCAGCCTACTGCATTTTTAAGGGGAGTTTGGGATGTTATTCTAGATTTTATTTTTTGCTTTATATCCTTGCCTCTAGTTTTTCAGAGAAAACATAAGTGTTTTTCTTTATTCTTAAGTTTCCTCCCGAGGGCAGCTGTGACAACAGGGGACCCCCTTTGAACAAGCATGAATAGAACTTTTTGCTGAAAACAAGAAAGGCTTCTGCCCACTTCCACTGTTCTTACCTTACCTATAGATGTTCAGTCAGTAGGAGTTATTCTGCTTATCTGGGGAGTTTAACAGGAAAATTTCTCTCCTTTCATCAATAGTTAGAAAAGAAGCAGTTTATTATTTAAGTGGGTGTAGTCAGGCGGTACCATTCTGGTCACTTGAGGATGAATTGTTTGTCCCAGTTAGCATTTGCAGTTGTACTGTGTGCATAGCACTGTAGGTGGCCTCCATGGTAAGAACTGCGCAGCAGGCATGAAAGCCATAGAAAAGCAAAAGGCACATGTAATGATATTCTAAAAAAACACACAACAGAAAGCATAATATTTAAAAGGACACAACATAATGCAAACTAAATCCATGTGAGCAGCTAGTGAAGTAACGGTCAGCCAGATGGATGTGCAAGGGCTTGCGTTTGGTGAAAGGAACAAAAAGGATAAATGCAGTGGTGGAACATCTTAGCCTCTTTATTTGTTGCTAGGACACAATACTTGAGACCCACAACTTAAAGGAGGAGAGGTTTATTTAGCTCACAGTTCATAGAGGTTTCAGACCATAGTCAGCTGGTTCCGTGGCAGGGTAGCAGCAGAAAGGCCTGCCAGGAGAGATTGCTCATTGCGTGTCAAGCAGAAGCAGAGAGAGGGATCATGGAAAAAGGAGAGAGAGAAAGACTTAAGCCCTGTCCCCAGCAACTCACCGCCTCCAACCAGGCTTCACCTTTCCATGTCACATTTAGCTATAACCTTATCAGTGGATTAATCACTGTGTATCACGACCACTGATCCATTCACCTCCCCAAAGTCCCACCTATGTGTGCATGAGGCTTTAGGGGGACATCTAGATATAAACCATAACATGGAGATGAGGAATAACTTACTGTGCTTAGGAGTCATCATTGATTGCTGGTTCTCCCTCATTTTTCTTTCCCTCTCACCTTATGTATCATTCATTGGCAAGCTGCGTACATTTTGTCTAAAAAATATACAGTTCAAGCCAGACGTGCTGTGGTGCATGCCAATAATCCCAGTACTCTGGGTGACTGAGGAAGGAGGATCACAAGTTTGAGGCCAGCCTGGGCAATTTAGCAACTTGGTGAGACTTGTCTCAAACATGTTTTAAAGTTAAAGTGTGAAAGCTCTGAGTTCAGTCTCTAGTGACCCTACCACCAAACCATCAAATACAGTGCAAGTCCTCATCTTGCTTCTGCTCATGTCCACCTCTTTTCTGTGCACACTGTCATCTCTAGGCAAGGCAGTATCAGTATTGCCCTGACTGGTCACTCTGCTTCTTCTTGCTTAATCCCAGTCTACTCTTCACGAAAAAGCAAGAGAGAGTTTTAGCACAGATACATCAGATCATCAAATTACTAATTTAAAATTCTTTTGTGATTTCCCTATGTTCTTATGCTCAAACCTAAACTGATCATGGTTTATACCTGGCTGTGTCCCTGTCTCAATAATGACTTCTAATTTTTTTATTTTAAAAAATTATTAGTTGTAATAGTAGCTGTTATAGATTCTATATATGTGTAATATGTGTAGTTTGTGGAGCATACTCATCTTACTGACAGAAATAATTTCAATGTAGGCATATAATACTGTAGATTCTGAACACACATTGAATTCAAGAGCTAGTTACACAGAGAGAAAGCCATTCAGTCATTGTGCCACAATCAGTTGCTTAAGATTTTGTAGTGTGTGTCAATATGAAGGTGACAATTCCAGAAGCCAGAGAATTAGAGTAAGTCCATCAGTGATGAGCAAAAATCCAGACGTTAAGATAAAGAAAACAGATGCTAAACCCTGGCACTCATTTTCATACGTTTTGAGACTAACTGTTTTAGCAGTTGTGCCCAGGCTGGATTAGATAAGGAGGAGTCCTGAGTCAAGAGCTTTGTGTAGAAGTTATTGCAGCAGTGAGAAAAAGGTGATAAGAATTTGGACAGGGCGATGCTAGGGAAGGGAGGGTGGATTTAGGATTCCACAGTTTGGATATTTTCATGGTAACAATGTAGCAAACAACTGAAATTTAAAATACTGTGCTTCCTTTATTATATGACATTTAACACCGCCAGCAGGCAAGCCATACTTTTAAAAAGTACTTCCTCAATTGAAGGGAATAGGAGGCTATCTATAACCTCCAGCTTTCCTTGATAACCTACAACACTGATATAGGGAGGATATAGGTAAAGAAGAAAATCGAGATTAAATTTTCCCACTGCCATAAATTTATTGGATAAAATAATGTACATGAAAAATGCCTAGTTCTGTGGAAAGTGTTAACTTTTCATTCAAGTATTGAAAAATAACTGTTCTTTTAGATTTTACGAATCTAACATGTTTTCTGCCAAATTGCCAACTGAAATAAAACTGTGTGAAACATTTTTCTTATTATGCTACATTTTCCATTTTTTTAAGCCCTTGAACAAAATGATGAAGACAACGACAAACATGTACCTGTAACAGAAGCTGAAGGTGTTCCAGATTCTCAGGTATGATCAATTCTGTTATTTTCCTTATGTGAGAGCTGTAGATAATCCGGCTGTTTGCAGATGATGCAGCATTTATCTTTTGTGCTCCATAACAAGTCATGTCAGTGGGAATAAAGTGTTTATTTCAAAGTAAATCACATGAAGGGTCCTAAATTGCTAGTCATATTAATAGGAGGCCACCTTATCTGAATTTTTGCCTTCTGTAGTTTCAGTTACTCAATGGCTGGAGATACTAAATTGAAAAATCCAGAAATAAATAATTCATAAAGTTTAAATCTTGTGCCAGAGCCAGGGATTTAACTCAGTATCACAAGTGCCTGCCTGGCAAGTATAAGACTGTGAGTTCAATCCCCAGTACCAAAAAAATAAAAGCATCTTGTGCCATTCTGAAAAGCATAAAAAAAAAACTTGAGCTGTCTGGTCCTATCCCATCCAGGATTCCATTCATTCCTTCGCCTGTGCTGTATCCATGCTGTATATACTACCCACCCCTTAGTCACTTAGTGATTGTCGCAGTAATCAGATCCCCTGTCAGGGTGATGCAGTGCTGTGTTCCAGGAAGGTAGAAGTTGCTGCTGCATCATAATGCCTCCCTCCTTTCATTTCATTACAGGCATTGTACCTCTCATATTGTCATAAGAAAATGAGTGAATACAGTACAGTAAGAAATTTTGAGAAAGACCACATTCATATAACTTTTATTTTAATATGTATTTGTAATTGTTCTCTTATTTTTAGTTAGTGTTAATTTCTTACTGTGCCTATTTATAAGGTATAGTTTATCACAGACGTGTACATATGTGCAGGAAAAACAGAATGAGGAGGATTCAGTGCCATCCACGGTTTCAGGCATCCTCTGGCAGTCTTGGCATGTGTCCCTTGTACATGAAGAAGGATTGCTGTGTAGTTTGATTCTTGGGGAGGTACAGTGAGAGAGAATCCACTTCTTTGAGAAAATAAGCACAGAAAGTGAAGAACTGGAAGGAAAGACCACGTTCAGGACAGACTTCCCTTCGAGAAGGCAGAGGAGAATAAGAGCAGGCGGTACCAGCAGCTGGGGTTGACCAGACAAGTAGTTTGATGGCTCACTTGCCGAAGACTCTGTGCTGTCCACTGATTGCTAAATTGTGGAATGGATGAGCTTTTAGTAACAATGTAACCTCCACATACCATTGTGATATAAATACTTTGGATGCTCTCATACTGTCACTTGTTAACTACATGTGACAATGGAGCATTTGGAGACACTTACCCTGGTTGACCCATTGTACTTTATCTTGAAGGTTCTAAGCCTCTTAGTTCTATTAATTAGGCATGGTAGCTCCTACTTTAGTGGGAGACTAAGGCAGAAGAATTTGGAGCCCAGCCTAGGCAACTTAAGAGTCTTAGCAAGATCTTGTCTCAAAATAAAATAAAAAATTTTAACAGGGTTAGGGATGTAGTTCAGTGCAAAAGACTTGGGTTAAATCCTGGTATACCATGAGAGAAAGAAAGAGAGAGAGAGAGGGAAAGGAGAGGGCAGAGGGACAGGGAAGGCTTGTAATGTTTTAATAAATACACATTGTTTTGCTGGTGTAGCACTAAAGATGCCACAGTCTGTAGGTTCCCTTGAAATTATACTTTAGTCTTGCACAGAGATTCCTCAACTCAGTGTATTTGCTACTTTTTCAGAGATTTCTTAAATCACTAGTTTATTGGTGGCGTATTTCTAAACTTAAACTATTATCTTTTGTTTTGAACTTTTACTATATGAGCTAAAAACCTGTTTGAATATAGCTTTATTTCTGAAAAAGATCCACAGATCTTATCTTTGAGATTTGGAGATTTTATTCAGCAACAAAAATATGACCACCTATCTATAGGATGTATAAAAAGAATGAAACCACGAAACTAGTCAGTCAGTAATTACATCAGGAACAGTTTTGGTTTAGGGTTGGGAATCAGGGTCATGGGGAGATGTAACTATTAGTGGTGAAGGCCAAGGCCATGGAGGAAGGAAGCCAGCCATCTCTTCCTCTACTGTGTATGCAAAAGCTCCATCTACTACCCCCAGAACTACCAGTTCATTCTGCAGCTCCAACTATCTGAATGCCAGCGGCATTATCACTAGTTCAAGTCATGAGAGATAAATTTAAAGAAAACTTTCAGAACTTTGACATCAGATTATTGAACAGAATGAGAAATAAATGTGTCTGCTCTTGGACATGTCCATATGTGTGTAATTTGCACATACAGTTTATATATTTGGTGTTTCATGTACATGATTTATTGAGCACCTGTATGCCAGACTCTATCATATTTCAAATCACTGCATTGTTCACTTGAACGTATCATAAGCAGTTTAAGTGCTGCTCATCTCATTCCTTCTGCTTGGTGTATGATAAAATATGTTACTGTGGGAAGAACTGCTTAGGCTGTTGAAAACTTTGGGTATAAAGAGGGGTAGGATAGCTACTCACTCCAGGGGGCCTTGTTGTGCACAGGTTTCCCACCTACCAGCGAACCTTAATCTCTCCTCATCCATTGGCTTCTTGCTTCCTTTTCTCCCTGATTTATGTGGTGACATGTAGATGGACAGAATGAAGTGAGTGATCAGACTTGGGTTTGCATCTCCACACTTCTTCCTTACAGCTAGTGCCTTTTAGCAAGTCTCTCAGAGTCTGAACCTGTGAGTTCTTTTAGGGGAGGACCTGCCTCTTTGTCACCACAGTGTTCCCACTGTGCTCGGAACTGACATGCACCATTTTTATCTCTGTGAAATGGAGAGATGAGTTTGTCATGAGGCCGAAATGCAACAATAAAAATAAACACCTACAAAGACTGACAGCGTAGCGCATGCTAGACACTTGCCTAGCATACAGGCGACCCTGGGCTTGATCTTCAACACCAGAAAACACACCAGAATCACATGTGCATGCACATTCCTGGCACCTAGAAGAAAGTGTGACATGAGGATAAGAGGACCACATTGCCTGGGTTCTTCTGGGCTCTGCCACAGCCTGGGGCAAGTAACTCTCCTGCACCCTATATTCTTTATCCTGTAGTAATGCTGAGCATGAACACTTAGCACTTCGGACACACTGGCCTGTCTTCTGAGCTATTTGTTTTTGTTCCTGTACCTAAACCTTACAACAGAGCCTGCAAAGTAGATTGCGCAGTTACTCCATTTTACAGAGAAGGTGGAAGGGAAAAACGGCTGAGTTTCACACCAAGGCGGCCTGGCTTCTGCGTGCTTACTGTTAACCACTCTGCAGACTCCTCTTCTAAATACGTCTATGAAGTGAGGATAATTGTTGGGTGGTTGTAAATAGGAAATGACTGTCTGTGAAGCAATCAGGATACTGCCCAGTACATAGTAAGCATGGTTATCTTCTGTCCGTTATCATCGGTGTCATCATGATCTCTAACACAGCAGGGATGAATTGCTGCTCTGTCTTTACGGTATTATCACACAAGTGAAACATTACAGACCCTCCTTTCTTTATATGAGACAAAAAGATTACAGAATCTTTGTCAAAAAGTAGCTCAATTTCCCCAGTTTCTAATGAGATCTTCAATAAGTATCTTCAAACTTTTTGAACTTGGAAATTCTTTGATTCAATTGGTGATGCCTCCTCCCTTCATTTGGTTTTGTTGGAATCTTTCTTAGTTTTTGTTTTGTTTTGTTGGTGGTTTTTTTTGGTTTTCTTGTTTTGTTTTGTTTTAAGACAGGGTCTCACTGTGTAGCACAGGCTGCCTTGAACTCATTAATGTAATCCAGGTCGGCCCTAACTAACAGCGATCCTCCTGCTTCAGTCACCTAAGTGCTGGGATTATAGTTATGTGCCACCATGCCGAGCATCGTAGCCCTCGTTTGTATGAATTATTTTAATACTAGGTCATAATAATGATAAATTATGATAAATCATTACCAAATATTTGAAAATTTATCAGCAGCCAAAGCACACATGTATGTATTCATGTGTACATGAGTGTGTTCTCTACCACTGAGTATGTGTTCTCTCCTACACTACATACCTGGGTTGATTTTTTATTTTGAGATGGGATCTCATTAAGTTGTCCAGGGGGACTCAAACTTGCAGTCCTCTGGCCTCAGCCTCCCCGAATGTCAAGCTTACATGCCTGCACACCACACCTGGCCCAACATGTACTTTTATATTCCTAAAGAAAGCTGTAATCTGTGGCTGTTATAGCATACAGATGATCTTCTAAAATCCTTGCTTTTGGAATGTGTTAGTTTGCATATTTTCCATGTGTGCTGCAATTCTATAAGGATAGTACATTAGGAGAGTATTTGAGGAGGACAATATCTGTTGCTCCATGGAACTGGTTTCTGCCTCCTCCTGTGTTCTCCATGTGCTCAGGGAGGACGCAGCTGCTTGAGGCTTGTACTGGACGTGTCTGTGAAACCAGGCTGTGTGTTAGCACCAGTGATTCCACAGAGGAGCGAGGCTGGCGAGGCTTCTCCTGCCTCCTTGTCCAGTGAGGTTTAAGGCTGCCCGATGTCTGAGGCCTGTGTAGCAACCCTGTTAACCAGCTGCCCTGACCATCACACTTGCTGTCATGTGCACTTTCTCACTGTGGTGCTTTGTAGTTCTTTCCTGTGACAAAAGGGCATAGTTTTCCATCCTAACCACTGAGCGATTTTTTGTAATTTTCTTTTTTCCCTGAAGGAATTGGAGAAAATAAATATTTGCTGTCCTAAAATTATCTTTAAAAAAAAACAAAAAAACATGATGAGGAATGTAAACCTTATGTGCTGCAAATGTGTACCAAAAAGCAGGAAAGGATCTGAGACAGAGGGAGGGAGAGAGGGGGAGGGGCAAGACGATGAAAAGAATTAAGATACATTATGGCTGGGATTGTGGTACACAGCTGTGATCCCAGAATTTGGGAGGCTGATGCAAGAGGATCGATGCAAGTTTGAGGGGAGCCTGGGGTACAAAGTGAGCTCAAGGCCAGCCAAAACAGCATAGCCTGAAATATAGTGAAACCCTGACTCAAAAAGGTTAAAAAAAAAAAAAAAAAAAAGACGGTAATCCACAGAAGGAATAAAACCATTATGTACTATACACACATGCACTAATAGAAATACAAAAAGTAAAATAAAACTCTGACCCATCTTCATTTTTTATTTCATCTCTTTTATTTTCAGAAGCAAAAACTAAACTTTTATTTAGTGAGCTTTTTTCAGGGCTTAATTTTTAATGGGACAAATATATTATGCAGTAATCAGTAAGAATTTATTTCAATACCTTGAGTTTGTGTTGATCAGCGTTCATGTTACTTGAGTCGCATTCTGTTACAACAAATGCGATTTCATGGAAGATGGATTTTCTCTTCCTCGTTTTCCTTTCCTGATAGCAGTGTTTGCATATTTTGCTGAGATGTTTGAGAAAAAGTATTTCTTACAGTTAAGATAATGCACACAATGTTTTACAACTTATAACTGTGCTGTTTCACCTTTGTCACAGAAAAGCGCTCATTTGTCACGCTCGTGTCCCTTCCTACGGGACTCCTGTCCACGTTCCACCTCCACAGCTGAGGGAATGGACGCGGCATCTCATGACTCCCTTTATAAGGAAGCAGACTTTTCCATTGGCCATCACAGCATTTCTCTTCTCAGATACTGAAAATCACATGAATAGCTTTAATTATACATTATAGAGGGTTTTTTTAAAAAACATCTTAAAATAAGGCTCTTAAATAATTCTTCTGAGAGCTACACATTCATCTTTTATTTTTTTCTGACTTCACTGTGTTAGCAAAATTGTTTATAAATAATTTCACATAGATAAATTAAGTAGACTAAGAATGTGAAAGCCTAGATCAAGGGCCGACAGTTATCCTGCTTCTCCTGACATAACAAAGCTCCCAAAGTATATTATTAAATTCGTGGATTTCTTGAATTAAATGACTAAATTATGGAGCTATGAAAGGGACTCCAGAGAATATGTAGTTTGGGGCAGTATTTCCAAAGAACATTGCCCTATAAACTACCTAGGATGTGTGGGCGTCTCTTCAAGCTGAAAGGAGCATTTGTAACTCCTTTTGCAAACCCATTTCAATGGTAGTTTTATAAGAAGAGCAGTAGGACTGATTGACTTCTGGAAGAGGACAAAAAACAAAAACAAAAACAAAAACCAAAGATCTACAAATTATGCAGAAACTAGAAAATCAAGAAAGCAGTATTTCTTCTTTAAGTAGAAGATGTGATGTAAATACAAAATAATTGATCTAAAACCCATTGTTAAAGGCAGTAGCATTTTCTGTTTAAAATATATATTCAATGTGTGCACCCAAGTATCTGGTTTAAATAAATGTCTTTCCTCCTGCAAGAAAAGTCTTTATTTAGGATGCTAATTGTAGGTGCTCCAGGGGTGCAATCAGTTAGCACATGGTACTTACACAGGATCCTAATTGTGAGGGGAAGAATATTTTACAATTCTTTACAAACTTGCTTTCATACAGAAACAACAACAACAAAAAAAAACAGTTTTCTTAAGTTTCTTCTTCTCAGTCCCAGCCTTTTATTGCTGATGCTTTTATCAGTTGTTTAAAACTATATGTGGGACCTGTGGCTGGTTGGAAAAACTGTCTCCAAGTGAGAATCCTAGGAAGCTCAGCCTCGTTGCTCTGGAGGCTGTGTGGTGGGAGGTAGCTGCAGGCTCTGCTCTGTGCCAAGGCGGCTAGCCTCATAGAGCTCACCTAGAAACAGGACCTGCCTGTCCTTCTCCTATCCCCAGCCTCTCTCATTGGGTAGCCACACTGGATTGTAGGGAGGGGGAGGGGAGGGGAAAGGGAGGGAGGGGGAGGGAGGGGGAAGGAGAGAGGCGAGGGTGAGGATGGATTAATGGCAATATGTTGTTTATTATAATACATTTTTGGAATTTAAATATTCACCTTATTTTTTTTTATCATTCCCTATATAATGTTTAAAGAATGTTGAGACAACCCCAGTGTTTTTTTGGTCTTTCTAGTTTAAAGGAGGATACTTACCATTATGGACTCTCTTTTAGCCCCTCATTGATTAAAAGAACATCTTCATATATTTAACCTTGTCTCAGGTTATGGAATCCATTAAAATCCTGTAGAAGGAAGATTAAGATGTTAAAAGGATTAAAAAATAAGAATCAAGTGGGCCCCAGATGAAGCCTGATAATTTGCTTTTCTCTTAGGCCAGGAGCTGAAACCACAGCCATCTGCCTGTCTCTGGAAGAGTCCTCTAAATCACCAGGCTCATTCATTTGCCTATGGTCTCTTGCCACTCTCAGGCTCCAGCTGCAGAGCTGAAGCTTTGTGGCAAAGACCCTAGACTATTGCTATGTGGCCCTTTACAGAAAATGTTTGCCTTCACTTGGAACTTCAAGGACCACATCATCATTTCTTTTTTTCATATCTCCCACTTTTTCTCTCCATCTTTACTCTTTCTAGTAACTGGACTCTTTATTCTTCTGGGAAACAGAAGCCTTCAGAAGAAAATTTCCCCTTCACACCTGTATTTACCTTTCTCCTGGGATATTTACATTTATGTTTCTCTGAGGATAGATCTTTATCATCTCTTTCCTATTCAAGAAAATTACTCTTGAAAATGTGCTTTCTCCCTTTGACATCATCAAATTTCTCTTTTTACTGCAGATAAATATTCTAGAATGTTCCTCATCTCAACACCAGCAAGCAAGCCACCATCTCTTGTGTGAAAACCAATCACTGAGCTTCATTGGCTTCTCCCCACCCTACCCAGGATACATAATGACCTTATAAAATGTAAATCAGGTTATGCTAATTATCTGTCCAAAACATCCCAAAGGCTTTTGAGCTGGCATAGGAGAGAATTCAAACCCTTTACACAGCCTATAAGGAACTTCTGTGATCCGGTCCTGCACCACCTGAAGATTCCCACCGTCTGCCCTTACCAGCTTTCTGTCCCATACCATTCCTGGAACCTGCCAAACACACTTTAGGACCATTGCCCTTGATGTGCTCCTGCCTGTCCCTACTTTGTCTGGGTATCCACATTACTCTTCCTCAGTAGTTCATATAGGTTTCCCTCAGATACCATCTACTGAAGAATCCTTCCTGACATTCCTATAATTAATGGCTGTAATCACTTCTCTGTCCCCTCATTCTGATATCTTCCTTTCTGTCACACATTACCACATGATATTTCTATTTGTACTGATTAACTGTGCTCTTTAATGAATGTAAATTCCCTGATGCAAAGGACTTTGGTGCTTTGTTTGTTTGATCTGTAATCTCATCTACAGTTTGTTGTTGCTCAAGTAAAATCTACCAAGTGAATAAATAATTGCAAGAAATAGGGATATAGCCAGGCATGGTGGTGCACTCCTGTAATCCCAGCACTTGGGAGGCTGAGGCAGGCAGATTGTTGCAAGTTTGAGACCAGCCTGGTCTACAAAGTGAGCCTAAGGCCAGCCTGAACTGCATAGTGAGACCCTGTCTCTAAAGGACAAAAAAAGGAAAAAAAAAAAAAGTAGGGATATATATCTGAAGAATTAAAAGGAAGTTATCGATACTTTTATTTAAATATTAGAAAGATTGTCACGTTTGAACAAGTCTAGTTTCAATTTCGTTAAAACACACAACTTATGAGTTGAAATTAGTTTCAAACTGGGCAAAGGGTTGAATGCCTGTAATCCCAGAATGTGGGAGGCTGAGGCAGGAGGATCTGCATGAGTTCGAGGCCAGCTTGGGCTACATAAATGAGTTCAAGACCAGTCTGAAAGAAAAGGAAAAAGTTTCAGAGTAGTGCTTTGTGTGATAAAAGACTGTCCAGTTGTCTGGCTATCTCGCAGTGTACAGACTGTCTTTAAGATAAGCTGTGATCCCTGTCCAAAGATACCTCAGAAAGGAACTGGAAAACCACTTGTGAGGGATGCTGTCAAAATAAATCTCTGACCTTGGTGGAGTTCTCTGTTTGCTGTCTTCTGGGAGCCTGTGATTTGGATTCCTTGAAGAGTTATGTTTCTTTCTTTCCAATTTGGAGAAACCACTAGAAAAAGAGATGTCACTCTTGGGAATAAAGTTGTAGTCATTTCTTTGTGTAAATTGTTCCCTTTCTTTGATGCTCACTCAGCAGCATGAGCATCTCCAGCCCACACTGTTGAGTTCATGAAGCTTGGGCTCACATGCAAGCCCTTTCCCTACATTTGTTCATTCTGCTGTGCTCAGATCCTACAGGCTGTGTTAGTTAAAATATGGATTCTATAGTTCTGACTGTTCCTGCCAAGTGTAACTGCAGATTTCTTTATTAGATCTTGCCCTGGTATGTCAGGGTGAACCATTTTGGAAAGGATTTAAGCAGAAACAATTTATAGTTTGTGTGCTAGAATTAACATGCTTTTTCTATTGCCATGTCCTGATTTACTTACCTCATCATCATCATTACTTAGATTCTTTGACCTAATTAAAAAAAAAATATTATGCTTCTTGGATTATTTCCAAACCCTAGTAAGTAAAATTCTAAGGTTTCTTTTTCTAATTTCTTATTTTTAATATAATTTTTGCCATTCCCCATGCAGCACTGGAGAGTTATTTTCCATACCCATAATAATTTTCCAGTTGTGAAAACAAAACTGTGTATTTGTCTGTGGAATGATCTGGTAGAGTAAATGAATTGGGAGGTTTTAAATTGTTATTTTTAGGACTCTATCACTTCACCCTTTTTGCCAGAGTGGTTCCTGGCTAACTTTCCCATGAATTTTTAACCTCTTGCTAGGCTTTGCTTATGTAACAGGAAACAGGCTGTCAGGAACAAACAAATAGCGGCATATCAGGAGCACTCATAGTAGCAAATGATTTAGTTTGCCCTTCGCGCTCTTAAAGTGGACTGATAGATTGATCTCAACGTTAAATCTTTAGGCAGAGCATCTCACAATTAAAACAGTGCAGTTTCAACTTTCAAAATACAAAATATTTTATCAAGACCATGATTTAATCCAGTCCATAGGGAAAAATGATCTTCTAAAAAGGTGAATTTGGCAGTGGTGCCATGTCCTGGGACTGTGGATTTAAGTATATCTTTGCCTTTTCTCCAACTCTCAAGGCTGGGGTGATGTGCAAGCTTCAAGAGAGAGATGACATTGGACGCATTGAACTGGTTCAGAAGCTGGCAAGAGAAAACTGTCAGTTTTTGCAGACAGACAAAAAAGAACCGGAGAAGTCTGAACACGTAAGTGCTTTTCCTCCTGGGATATAGGTTTATAGGGGGAGAATGTTTCTCTCTCGTTGTTACATTTGAAGAAAAGAGTATTTTGAATTTTTTAGATTTTAGGTCTTTATTCACTAAAAATCATCTTCCTTAGTAAAAAAAAAAAATGACAATTGATTATAGCTCTAAGTTAGTGGTTTTTGACATTCGATTGTAAAAGAATTCATCTCAAAAGTAAGTGAGGTAGAAATAGATTATATTTAAGCAGATGTGAATGTGTGTCTCTATGATTGTGATTTGATGCCCTCCAAGTTCAACTTTGGAAGTTTTGTTTCATTAGATAGTTTAGAGAATATAAAGTTTCAAAAGAATAGTCCAATGTACTTATATGTTTGGTATGGGGGTGGATCTAATTGCCAAACAAATGTATCCCAAGTCACTAGAAATAGATAAGAACCGAAGAACAGATTATAGATATTCTCACCAAGTAGGAGGATCAGAGCGCGATTTCTTGGTATCTTTTGAACACTGTGTTCCAACAAGAGTGACATTGTCTAGATGCAGTAGAAACTGGAGGAAAGGACGCTCTGCTTGGTCCCCTGAAAGCAGTTATTCAGCTTGAGCCTTAGAACTGAGAATGCTGCCCTCACCCTGGGAAGACAATGCAGCTACTTTCTTTTGCTGTGCACTGTAGCCTGCTGATTCTGTTATTTGTAAGTTTACTCTCAGTGCAGCAGAATCCAGGATTGCTCAGGAAGGGGAAGATTTCTCTGTGCTTGTAAACATGTCTTTCTCTGACTTTATATTTCCCTTGGAATTTTCTTTTCAACCCATTGCAAAGGGAAAAAGTGACTGTTTTTTCTTCTGCCCCGAGTCTGTCTATACAAGCAACAAAGTTTTACTGAACATGAGGAGAGGTGAACACATGCCTAATTGTGGCCTCAAATTGTAACAGTGGCTGTCTCAAGGGGGAACATAATTAGGCAATTTCAAGGCTTTGGCAGGCGAGAATTCTACCACTGAACCACCAATGCTTACAATTTCAAGGCTTTGGGATTGAACTATTTCAAGGCCTTAGCATTGACTTCATAAGTGTAGTTGGAAGAATCAGACACTTTTGCCTTGATAGGTGCTATGGGAAACATTAGGGCCTTATGTAAGTTGTAAAAGTACTCTAAAGTTGTACTGTATCAGAGACTGACTCCTAATCTGTCATGATCTTTGAATATGTAATTATCCTACTATATAGATTAATTCTCAGAACAGTACTCTTTTTGATGTGTTATACATAGAAGGACAACAATTTCACATGACTTATTTTATTGATTTTGGGATACACATTTGTCTACAGCATGATATCTCTGAAATCAGGATGCATCTTAACCATTGTTAATAGGAAAATGTCCCTTAAATGAATCTTAAAATTACAGGCAGATTAGAAGCACTAAATCAGTGAAAACTCAAAGTAGGGCAAGACTTTTAGAAATCAAACAGTAGGTTATCACTTTATCAAAGTTAATCATTAGCATTAGACCACAAAGAATTTTATGCCTTTGAACAATATACTGGTGTTGCCTTCATCTTATGCATCCTTAATATTATAAACATTTACAAGAATGAGATTATTTAAATTTTTTTTTTGGTCTTTTTCATTTTTATCGGTATTGGGGATCGAACTCACGACCGCCTGCTTGCAAGGCATGTGCTTATGCCGCTGAGCTAAATCTCCAGCCCCAGCAATGAGATTGTAATACCATCCAGATATGTAACTATATAAAAATCTGAACTTGGTGCTGATCTTTCTAAAGGCTTTTAGAATGAGACAAATTTAGTAGTTAATTTATAATTTTGATGATGATTATTTGCTCTGTTAAATTCAAACCTTCACTTTTAGGTTTGTAAAATATAATACTTAGGAGTTTTTTCCTTCTTGTACGATTGTTGTACGATGGATACATCAACAGCTCTGAAATGTTCCCTCCCTTCTGAGAGGGACGATGCTTGATAGGTAAGCCTTTCAATTATGACTTTTTTCCACATAGACTTCTCCATGAAGCTTAAAGTAAGGAAAGGAGAATATTAAGGATCTTACTTTCTTTGTAATAAATGTAAACTCACATTCTGTGATCTCCCTTCTGTTGGGTGATACTATATGAAAGTCAGTCCTCAGTGATGCTCCACTTACTGAATTATTCAATACATTTTTTTCACAATAGTTTGTTAAAAATAAGGCTATGTTATTTTAATCTTTCACATCCTGGGCATTTGCAGTGGCTATACCTTTGCTTGTTCATTAAGTTCACAGCGTACAAGAAATCAGTGTAGCATTTTGTTTTTCTTTTCAATAGCAGTTAACTGCTCTTGCTCCTGGAAACTCAGTTGTAACACACACTATATACAGAGGAAACTGCAGTTTACTAATGTAAACCTTGGTCTTCCCTTTCCTCTTCTTGTTTTAACAATAATGAGCAAACCATGGAGCTATACACAGAATTTTTTAAATGATTTTAAAATGTGTCGTGTACCTCATCTATCGTTTCTTGGTCAAAGTTAGCTAACTAGACAATGGCAAAATTTAAGTAGCATCCGAGTTGCCTACCAAGCTATTTATTTTACTGTGCCACATTGGTCCTCCAGTTCTAACATGCCACATCCCTTTATATATATATACATACCACAAGGCGAAAGTTACATTGAAGTACCACTGTGCTGAGAATGATACGAGTTTGAAAGAAAAAAGCCTGTGTTGCCATTACATCCTGTTACAAACTAACAGAGGTTAGACCTTTCTGAGTAGGAATTTATGATTTTTTTAAAACTGGAAATTATCACTATTATAAATGGGTGCAATGAAAGAAATGTTTTGCTCTGTGGTTGTGCCAACATGCTTTAAAAAAATTTTTTTAAAGGATAAATGTGTAATTATCACAGGTTCCTCAAGGGTCATTAGTTTTCCTATTTGCTGTTAAGTAGCTTTAGGCAAAATTAGGCAACATTCATTCCTAAGTGTTGAAAATTGTTAAATGATGGCTTAAAGAAAAAAGGTGGAAATGGGCTGTGTCTTTTAAACATTCTGATAGAAAAATTAAGGATTAGATGTTAGTACTTTAAAGAAATCACTCTTGGGTAGTCATTATATGTCCTAATATTTAATGCCGTGATTACATCAGTAGATGAAGGGGCTTGTGCTACCAATTGGGGACTTCTGTTCTTGACCTTAGGGGATGATGACTCTGGTCATAGAGAAGGGCAGGGCAGGGTGCAGCATTTTAGTAGAGAAACCAGCAGGAAGGCATAATTAGCTATTGGGTGATTCATAGGGAATGGAAAAGGGCAGGCTGGAAAAAGCTAAAATTCAGTTGTGAAAGATCCAGTAAACCACCCTGAGGAGTTGGGGCCTGCCTTCCTGGCTATGGAAAGCCATCAAAGAAGGGACGTGGTACAGTCAGATGTGGGTGCTGTTAGATCTCTCTGGCATTAGATTAGAGGAAACTTTGAGTAAGGAAGAAGGAAATATTGGAGGGAACCTTAGAAAGCTATGATAGTGAGCCAGATGAGAAGTGTTAGCCTGAACCAGAGTTGTGACTGTGGGAACCGAGAAGGTGGTTTGTGTTGAAATCCACAGAGACTGTACAGTTGGGTAACTTTGATGAGTGGCAAGTGGCAGGTGTACACGCTATTTTATATTACAGAACTTCTGAATTTTGATTGAGGTCTCTTTGGTACAAGGTAGACATAGGAAAACTCTCTTCACCACTAGAGTAGTTGGTTATCTTTGCTAAAAAATAGAGGAGTCATCACCCTTTAATGCTTTAATGGTCCCATAGCATATTTCAAGTATCTGTGATCTTAATATCATTAGTTGTTAAATGGAAGTTCTAGCTGACAGTGTGGAGCTGATATAACCTTTCTTTTCAGACCAATTCTTTTGAAATACTTTAAACAGAGAGGACCTCTGTTTTCCCAAATGAACTGACTTATTTGGCCAAAGATTTGGCTTTTTTTGCAATACAAAAAATGCTATGTGGGCCTTCTTCAGAAGTAAGTGTGATTTTAAGGTTATTTTCCTTAACTTTGTGGTCTGAGTTGGTGTGATGAATATTGTTATTGTAGAATACTCTTCATCATTCACTCATTCATTTACTAAATGTTTATTTAAATTAATGGTGTAGAAGATTTAGAATAACCATGGTGGATCCTACTTAAGATACAGGCTGGTTGTGGGGAAAGTTAGTTGAAATGAGTAACAAAGGCACAAGGAGACCATGGCAAGAATACAGGAAAGACACATGGAAGCAAGAAGAACTTACAGCTGGGGAAACCGGAGTTTCTCTAATGGCAGAGATAGAATTTGACCTAGACTTTAAAGTAGGTTTTGAGTTGGATTCAAACAACTTTAAGAGGGAAAAAAACCTGAAGAAAACATTCCTAGCAGAAAGAATTGCATCTTAAAAAATGAATAGAGATGTCAAGACACAAGACATCTGGGGGAAATCTGGAGTCATTCTGTGTTGCCAAGCACTGCCATGAGTTGGGGAACAGTGAGGCAGAGGAAAGATGTAGTGAGATCGAGACCCCACAGCGCAGGATTTGGAGGGCTGAGGAGTTTCAGTTTATTTTAGAATAATGAGGCACCAGTATTGAGTTTTGTAAAAAATAAATAGACAAGGTGAGGCGGGGTCTTCGTAATGTACATGATATTATTTGAATCAGATAGGTGAGAAAGCCGAGGCTGAGGGACAGAGCTGGGCAGAAAGCAAACTTGCTTCCACAGTGCATGTTCCCTCAGCCACCATGATTGGAGTGAGGACCTGACAGGCTGCCGGGAAGCCAAGAGGACGAGAAGCACGATAGTCCTCATGAGAACGAAGCTGGCAGCCCCCGAGGAAGGAGGCAGAATGATTGCCAAGGAAGGGGTGGTGTGATGGACATGGGAAGGGGAAGGGAAAGCCAATGTGCTTGCTTAGCGCCAGGCTTAGATTTGAGAAGCTCATAAATGTCCACATGTTAGTATCTGTAAAGTAGCTGTATTAAAGTATCTGTCTAGATGTGGGTCCTGCTTTCTACACTGTGGGCTGTCTCGTTTATTAGAAAACTGAAACTACATTTTTCCTAAAATGTAGCTTATGCTTTGGAGTGCATTAAATTGCAGACTAGACACACAAACACGGACCCTAAATTCACTTCCTAACTTCCTCTTGTAGAAATGAAGAGCCATAAAGTGTGTGTGAGAAACTTGTTCCCAGTAGCTCCCCCATGCCTGTGTCCCCGCCTCTCCCCACCCCATTTTCTTCAGTTCCTTTGTTAAGTCTGAGGACCCACCCTACTTCCTTCCCCTTCTCTAACGCAATCCTGAAGTGTGAGTGGGAAAGGGATTTTGTAAATTCAGAAACTGAATCTTGGCGTGGTCTGCTTCGGATCCCTGTCACTCAGCCCCTACCGGGATTTCCTTTCCTTGTTTCCTGCAGCCTCATCCTGGAATTCTGCCTACGTCAAAGGCTTCCTTGTTTAAGGATCACTGGGGGAAGAGTGGTCTGGAGTGATCTGGCTGCTCTAACTTCCCCCACCTCAGTACTGAGGATTGGAGCCAAGATCTGAGCGTGCCCGGGAAGCACTCTTCTCCTAAGCTACATTCAGTCCGCGGCCCTTTTTATTTGGGGTAGGGTCTTCCCGAATTGTCCAGGCTGAACTCCTCCTGCCCTTGCTTCCTAGCAGCTAGTATTACAGGTGTGCCATAGTCAGGCTA